TCATTAAATAACATATTTAATGATCCAAATAAATCAATTAATTCCAACATAAACAAGTCCAAAAGGAAGAAAAAAAAAATCAAGAAACTATGGTTTCAAGATTTTACCAGAAGAAGACGGAATTTTGTTTTCCCTTTTTTCATAAAACTCCGTTATGTACTTGAATTCCTTCTTGTATTTTTTTCTTCCATAATATGTAATTGAGTAATTAGTTAGGGTGGATGATTGTAACATAGTTTTAAACCTTAATTTTGATTAAAAAGGTTTAAATATCCAATTGATGTTGTTAATTACTTTTACTTCTATTCATAATGCTAGAACTAATTGGTCATTAATTCATTGATTTTTATGAGCGATGATTATGCCGAGAGGCGAATTATTTATTTAGACTGTATAGTAAAAGCCAAGGACTAGTATAAAAGCACATTTTCTAACTAATGCAGTTATTACATGGATTCTTAGAGAATTGATGTGTCTAACTAATGTGTATTCGAATTCACATTGATATATGGAATTGATTTAGTTCAAAAGAATCAATTTAAACTCGAAAGAGATAAATTGAATAAGTTAGAAGAATTCAACCATGTAAACATTATTAATATTATAAAATTTGGTGATTGAGATTAAGAGGATAATTATAGTGAATTTGTGAATTTTAACACTTAAACCATCATAAAATATTCATCTTTTATCATTTTAGTATATTTAAAATAAAAAATTAGAAAAAGAAAAATAAAAACTTTCTATTTGTTTTCGATCAAAATTATGAATAATTTAACCAACGATTAAATATTAGTCTCCGTGGGAGCGATAGTCGGACTCTTAGTTCCACTTCATAACTTGTTACGATTGGTACACTTGCGGGATATAAAATCGAAAACATATTGAAAAATTAAGTGTTAAATATAAAGAGCATGCTGGAGTACTTAAAAAGTTTACTCTCTAAATTTATAATCACTCTAAATTGTAAAATATGCTCTTTAAAAATAGATAGTCTTTTGGAGATGTTATAAGAATAGAGAGTGAGTTTTACTCTCTAAATTTTAGAACCTCAAATCTATTCTCTATTTTAAAAAGTTAAGATAGAGAGTTTGTTAGAGCTCATTGCTCATTTTGTAACATTAATTCTATAAAATAGAGAGTATTTTCTATTTAAAGAGTTTTTTGGAAATATTCTAATCCCTTTCCTTGAGTTAAATATTTCAAAAACCACTGAACTTTGGCATATGTCACGGCTTACTCACCGAACTTCACAATGCTTCCCATTGACCATCTGACTTTAAGTTGTTGTACTCCATCACTCATTGAATGTTTTCCGTTTAAATTTCCACGTATGTGGATGACGAAAATCATATGTGGCAATTAACTCCGTCAAAAATTGAAATGAGATGCCAACGTAGACGACACCTCATCAAAATCATTATTCCCACCTCTCCTCTTCCTTTTTTCTGAAAAACCCAAAATCAGAGGCCCCCAATTTAACCCTAAGCCCCAAATCAGTCTTTGCAACACAATCGAAGGCCCTCCAAATCCGAACAGGAAGAAATTGAACTTCTTGGTACTCGCGGATTCCTGAAGAGGTAAATCCAAAGCTGCATCTTCTCCGACATACGATGATGTATATTGGTTGGAAATGAGTTAGTACACTTTTGCATTTTTTTCTTTTATAATTTGCTAGTACACTTTTGCATTTTCTTTTATAATTTTCTACTTTATGTATTTGATGTATATTGGTTAAAATGCATTTGACAGAGATGATATTAGGTAGTGGAAGTTGACAGACGATGCTGGGTGATGCCTTTTAGGACTTGACTATTTCAGGGGGACTTCTTTGAAGCTAGTAAATTTTCCTTGCTAGAATGGGGGCTTAGGTAATTTAGATTTTAATTGAATAGTTATACCTATGGATTTTTCTTGTTTGCAGGTAGCATGTTTTAGTGCAAGCTGTCAACTTCAGAGTTAGAAATTATAAGTTTGATCTATCAACTCCATGTCAAGGCAAAGCTATACTCCAAGCTAATCAACAAAAAATCTTACTTGGGGTCAGGCTTAGCTATGTAAGATATGTTGAAGGAAGTTCAAAAGAAAAACAGGGAGTTCATTGAAAGGGTTGAGTCAGTTCAAACACTTAAAAATGAACTTAAGGAAGCCAAGGAATATGTTGTGTGGTCTATCGTATGTAACTTTCGACATAACATTTTGTAACAGTATAGGTGGACAATTTTTTGTAACTAATGTGTCATCTTGTTGCCAAAGTGCTTTGGAAACTTTTTTGTAATATTGTATCTATACAGTTATGTGTATTATATAAGGGAAGTTGAACAATGATTAAGTTGTGGTGTGATTTTTTAGTGTTTCATTCCCTTCCAGTGAAATGGGAAGCCTTTGAGATAGCGAAGTTGCTGTGATATGGTGACCTCTCAATTTATTTTAGAACATACTCAGCATTTTCATTTATATTCTATTTAATATTGTGTCACAAAACTCAAATGATTAACAGAATTTTCCGACCGGTGAAAACAAACTGAGGTGTTAGATAAAATAGTCTTCTTTTCCTACTTGAATCCCTCATTCAAGTCAGCTGGTTTCCTAGACATGTTCCATCAAATTGAATCAATCATAGTTATTGGCAACATGCTAAAGTAGCAATACTGAAATAAAATTTTGAGAAACGGTCAAAAGTCATAAGGGTATATAAGTGAGGTCATATGTGCCTTAAAGACTCACACAATGAAGAAGTAGGGATCAATTCTTTCGCTTCTCATTGCTCGTTAAAGCACATGTGGTATGAAACACGTACTACAATGTTTTATCCATTTCTTAGGGCGTATGTCTAATCTTTCAAATAAAATATACCGTACAGACCATTGTTCAGATATTCCTCAAGATCTAACATGAGTTCTCCTTATATAAATTCCTCTAGGCATTCTCAATCGAGAACTCGATATGGCTATAGAACAAGTCTTACGGATAGTAAAACAAAATCCATACCGATTACTTGTTGTAATGTCGTCTTGATATCTCATCAATGCGACACTGAATTATGTACACAATATGATCACTATGTCTCATCTCAGCACACATCAAAGTATCTGAGGCGATTGTTCG